TGTAATGTCCTTCTTTGACTCTTTTGATCTTGGTTGCCTTGAAGTCTATTTTATCAGAGGCGAGAATTGCAAGTCCTGCTTTTTATTTATTTATTTTTGCTCTCCATTTGCTTGGTAAGGAGTTTTTAATTACACAGGAACTTACTGATAATTTGTTTCTTCTACTGCTTTTATATGAGAAAGTCCTTCTCCATATGTTTACCAATAGTTTCCACTTTAAATGCCTTAGGAAAACTATTCCTTCATCAGCTGTTGCATGATGTGAAGAATAATTTTATACATTTTCTGAGTGGTAATGCCAAACTGATCACATACAATAATTTTAAATTTTCTCCTTCTAATCTATTTTCAATCATGTTTCTTCTGATAGTTTTAATTACCATTGTTTTAAAGCATACTTTCATATCTGACAGAGCAATTCTACCTTATGCATTTTGTCTTTCTTTCCCCAAGAGATTTTCAGCTAGTGCTATTTATTTTACAGGATAAACTTTAGAGTTGCTTTTTAATTTCCTCTTCATCCCTCCAGGAAAAAATTCCATTTGGATTTAATTGGAAAACAGATTTCTAAATTAATTTGTGTTGAATTAATGTGAGTTATATCTTTCAGTTTTGGAATATAGTACTTTAATCTATACAAATCTTTGTGTCTTTGTGTCTGTCCACACCCATACCATAGTAAAGTTTCATAGTTTGAACAATAAATCTCAAATTTTAGGGTTATTTCTAGTTATATGACTTTTGTAATTTGTATCTATTTTTTCTAATTTAAATTAGGAAATCTTGATATGTAATACATTTTAATATTCAATTATCCTTGTGTTCTTGGGATAAATCCTACTTGGTTCTGTCAAATGTTTATCAAATTATCTGCTGAGGTCAAGTATTGACTTAACCCAGAGGTGGTTTAGAGTATACCACTCTGATACAAGGATGATTTTGAGCGGAAGACAATTGAAAAAAAAAAATGTAGACACAAGCAAAACTCTCTGCCCTCCCACTGTCTCCACTAGAAAAGGCAGAACAATTCTTAATTAGAGACAAATCTAGACTATCAGCCCAGAGGTGGCACTGGAGGAATCTACATAACAAATCCTTCTAAAGTAACTTTTGTTTTCTACAACTGTCCCCAGTATATTCACCTCCCTACAGTATGCCACCTCTAGAAGCTCAAAGTCCTATCCCTTTATGTTGTCAGTGCTCAGTTACTGTTCCTTTGTTAAGGTATTATATAAGCTCAGGTTCTAATCACTTCTTTGAGTTACTCACCACTGAGTTTTTCCATATAAGCATAATACACGTGCTAGTAAAATCCAGTTTTTCTATTTTTAATCTGTCTTTTGTCAGTATCATTGCCAGAGTTCCAGTCAATGAACCTAAGATGGTCTGAGAAAAAATAAAAGCAACTTCTCTGCACCAACTAAAGGAATAATATCTATCTCTACTACAACTATTGCTACTCTCAGTACTTCACCTCTGACATCAAGATGTATGGGATTTCTTCCCCTATAACACCTGGGTATCTTACAATTCAATTCCATTCTGACATTATCTACCTTGGGTTAGCACAAACGGCACAGGTTAAGAGCTCAGTTTCACAGACTGCCCTCACTCCCCACTTCAGATGCCAATTGCAAGTCCAGGTTGTCACATGTGCTACTGACTGACCGGCAATAAATCAGAGGTTCCCACGATCCCTTCCTCAGGTTTGGTAATTTACTAAAACAACTCACAAAATTCAGGGAAACACTTTCACTTGTGTTCACCAATTTATTACAAAGGATATAATTCAGGAACAGTCAAACAAAAGACATATAGGGCAAGATATGGAGGCTGGGCACAGAGCTTCAATGTTCCTTCTGGGTACACCACCCACCCAGCACTCTGTGTTCACAAACTCAACTCTCTGAATGCTCTCCTTTTGGGGTTTTATAGGGGTTTCATTACATAGACATGATCAATCACAGCATTGGCAATTGGCAATTAAGTCAATTTCCAGTCCCTCTCCTCTACCGAGAGGTTGGACTAAGTTCCCAACTTCTGATCACAGGATTTGTTCTTCTGGATAGATGGGTAGAAGAGAGATACTTTTTTCTTCCTTCTACCCCAGAGGTTATAAACCTTATTTAGAGAAATTGAAATAGTCATGAAACTTTTGGGGAGAAGGAAATAGAAAATAGTATATTTTATGAATTAATTCTAAGTAAAGAACAGATATGTAGTTGATTATTCTAAGTAAAGAACAGATATGTAGTTGATTAACATTATAAGTAATAACTGACATTGCTAATGTTCTCTTCCTTCCCTGCCCTCTTCTTCACTTCTTTGTTTTTCAAATCTTTGTGTCCCTGACACCACAGAAGAGGCAATAGGAAAACAGTCTAAACTTTTCCTCCAAGCAGCACAATTTTAAGAACAGGAATCAGAATAAATATTTATAATCCAAATATAACACAAGCTTGATTTCTTAGAGATTAACATGTCTTTTCTTATTTAATTCTCAAAACAACCTCATGAGGCAGTGCATGGTATCATTTCTGTACGGCAAGAACGGTAGAAGTATACATTATTTTCATAGATACTGCAGTCTCCCCACAAGAAGCTGTGGTCTTCTTGGTGCTAAATTGGCTTAGGAACCAAGAAAGCTCAGTGCTCATCAACATTCTCCTAGATAGAAACACAAAGATTCTTAGTGCACCTACTTCTAGGATGGTATTGTAAATCTGAAGAATAAAAAAGACAGCGGTTTAGCAGTTGGCTTTTTTTTGCTCACCCTGAGAGGACCCTACCTGCATAGAGACGACACTGGTATCTGGGTCCTCCTTAGGAAGTCAAAGGCCAGCAAAATGCCTTACATCCTCCTTCTCTGGGCTTTTACTTCATCACACACATGTATCCTTGATTAAGTAAACTGGGAATTCATAGACCATAGTGTGCATGGTGATGGGGTGTCTCATCTCACAAATGAAGAAATTGAGTCTTAGAAAGATTTGAGATAATTCCCAAAATCACTGAACTAGTATATGGTAGAACTGAGATATGGACGAAGGACCATCAGATTCTAGAACTGTGGACTTCTATATCCCATGGTGTCCAGAAATGTTGGTTGACCACCCCAAATCCTCTTCCATTTCTCTTCTCTCTAGTCACCCTCTGGTCAGGCATGGCCATGTGACGATTCTGGCCAGAGATTTAAGTAGGCTACAGAATTCCTGGAAACATGTTTGTTTTTCTAATAGGGATAACCCTCCCTTCCCCTTCTTCCTTCAATGTGATGATGAGAGATGAAATAACCATTATTCAACCATTAGGAAAAGCCAAAATAATCAAAGTACCTTTAGTGCTGGTGGAGTTCAATTGTTGAACTAGCAGTGTATCTGCATTACTCTGGGTTTCTCTTTGAAAGTTATGAGTTTAAGTCACGGTAACCAGGTTTCTAACTACCACCAATTGATAAGCTCATGTAATGTCTTTTGCTGTGATTATTTTGCCTTATTAACATATAGTATTAATTTTCCTCTGTTTTTGTCTAAAACTGCTTCACTCATTCTTTATTTTTAGTATTTCTGAGCAAATTTTATCTAGGTGTGATCCATGTAAGAAACGTTGTTGCATTTTGTTTTTAACTAAACCACTGAGAGGATTTTATATCTTAAATCTGACAAAAGTTTAACAGTAAGTCTATTTCAACATCAACTAAGACTCTAGTGTATGTCACATGTGAGCCACATAGTGAATATAAAACAATCTAAAGAAGTTTTATAAAAGAAAAATCAGTAGCATAGTGCTTCATGGGAAATTAGTTACCTAGTAATTTTTTTCCTGGTCCAAATCCTTTGTAAACATGCAGATATCCTTGACAGACCAAAGATGTTAGCTTCATTGGGCAGTTGATAATATTAAGCTGAATAACGTGATTTAAAGGTGCTACTAACCTCCATTGGCAACTAAGGCATAGATGAAAGAAACAAAGTCAAACGATTTCCAAACAGAATGCTTTGTTAGTTATTTTGCTCAGAAATTAATGCATCAATGTTATTGACTCTCAGTGAGAGTTAGCTTTTGTGTTGGTTTCGTTATGGTTGTGAGAGAAAAAGATTTGTACTTTAAATTATACCAACTTTAAAATATCTAATACCTAATTTGCCAAAATTTGTAAAGTTCATACATTTTGGTGAAAGTTTGACTAATTGGGTGTGTTGTTTTATATTCTGATTGAATATGTATAAGATCTGAAGGATCTACATGTGCCAGAATTTGCCCCAAATTCCCACAAACCATTTATTATCTACTATGTGCCCAAATATTTTACATACATTTTATCAGTCTCCAACATTCTTTGTAGAGATTTGAGAAAGTACAATTTACCCACAAGAACATTCTTACATTGTTTTGTTTCGTTTCCATATTAAAGGCCATAGATGAGTGGTTACCTAAGAGTCTATTTTTTATTGAAAAGAGGTGAAGAATAATATTTTAAGCAAATACCAAATGTTTAGGTCAGTCAACTGATTTTTTTCCACACACTTCTTCCATTGTAATAAACATTCATTCCTTACCTCATAGTAGTTCTGTGAGAATTTCTTAGGATCTGCATGATCCCTGCTGGCTTAGTCAGAAGAACATTCTCACAAGGGACCAAATGCTCTCTGTTTGAAATTTGGGGAAGTCTGGTTATTTTACTGTCTTTTGGACCTAGAAGAACAGGAAGCAGAAAAAATGAGAAACTTTTTTTTATTATACTTTAGGTTCTGGGGTACTTGTGCTGATCATGCAGGATTGTTGCATAGGTACACACATGGCAATGTGGTTTGCTGCCTCCATCCCCCCGTCACCTACATCTTGCATTTCTCCCCCTGTTATCCCTCCCTGACATCCCCACTCATCCTGCTGTCCCTCCCTTGCCCCCCCAACAGACCCCTGTTTGTGATGCTTCCCTCCCTGTGCCCATGTGTTCTCATTGTTCATTACCCCCCTATGAGCGAGAACATGCAGTGTTTGATTTTCTGTTCTTGTGTCAGTTTGCTGAGAATGATGGTTTCCAGATTCATCCATGTCCCTACAGAGGACACAAACTCATCATTTTTTATGGTGGCATAGTATTCCAGGGTGTATATGTGCCACATTTTCCTTGTCTAGTCTATCTAGATAGGCATTTGGTTTGGTTCAAGGTCCTTGCTATTGTAAACAGTGCCGCTATGAACATACTTGGGTATGTGTCTTTATAATAGAATGATTTATAATCCTTTGGGTATATGCCCTTTATAGTAGAATGATTTATAATCCTTTGAGAATAATCCTTTGGTATTAATCCTTTGGGTATATGCTGGGTCAAATGGAATTTCTATTTCTAGGTCCTTGCGGAATCACCACACTGTCTTCAACAATGGTTGAACTAGTTTACACTCCCACCAACAGTGTAAAAGTGTTCCTATTTCTCCACATCCTCTCCAGCATTTGTTGTCTCAAGATTTTTTAATCACCATTCCAACTGGCATGAGGTGGTAGCTCAATGTGGTTTTGATTTGCATTTCTATAATAATCAGTGATGATGAGCATTTTTTCATATGTATGTTGGCCTTATATGTGTCTTCTTTTGAAAAGTGTCTGTTCATATACTTCTACTTTTGGATGGGTTTGTTTTTTTCTTGTAAATCTGTTTTAGTTCTTTGTAGATTCTGGATATTAGCCCTTTGTTAGATGGGTAGATTGCAAAAATTTTTTCCCATTCTGTTGGTTGCTGGTTCACCCTAATGATTGCTTCTTTTGCTGTACAGATGCTCTAGAGTTTAATTAGGTCCCATTTGTCTATTTTGGCTTTTGTTGTCAGTGCTTATGGTGTTTTGGTCATGAAGTCCTTGCCTATGCCTATGTCCTGAATGGTTTTGCCTAGGTTTATCTTCTAGGGTGTTTATGATGTTAGGTCTTATGTTTAAGTCTTTAATCCATTTGGAGTTAATTTTAGTGTAAGGTGTCAGGAAGGGGTCTAGTTTCTGCTTTCTGCACACTGCTAGCCAGTTTTCCCAACACCATTTATTAAACAGGGCGTCGTTTCCCCATTGCTTGTTTTTGTCAGGTTTGTCAAAGATCAGATGGTTGTAGATGTGTGGCATTGCCTCCAGGGCCTCTGTTCTGTTCCATTGTTTTATATCTGTTTTGGTACCAGTACCATGCTGTTTTGATTACTATAGCCTTGTAGCATAGTTTGAAATCAGGTAGCATGATGTCTCCAGCTTTGTTCTTTTTGCTTAGGATTGTCTTGGCTATGTGAATTCTTTTTTGGTTCCATATGAAGTTTAAGGTGGTTTTTTCCAGTTGCGTGAAGAAGGTCATCGGTAGCTTGATGGAGATAGCATTCAATTTATAAATTACTTTGGGCTGTATGGCCATTTTCACGATATTGATTCTTCCTAACTATGAGGATGGAATGTTTCTCCATCTGTTTGTGTCCTCTCTTATTTCCTTGAGCAGTGGTTTGTAGTTCTCCTTGAAGAGGTAGTACGTACTTTGTTAGTTGTATTCCTAGGTATTTTGTTCTTTTTATAGCAATTGTGAATGGGAGTTTGCTCATGATTTGGCTCTGTTAGTCTATTATTGGTGTATAGAAATGCTTGTGATTTCTGCACACTGATTTTGTATCCTGAGGCTTTGCTGAAGTTGCTTATCAGTTTCAGGAGATTTTGGGCTGAGATGATAGGGTCTTCCAAATATACAATAATGTCATCTGCAAATAGAGATCATTTGACTTCCTCCTTTCCTAATTGAATACTCTTTGTTTTGTTTTCTTGCCAAATTGCTCTGGCTAGAACTTCCAATACTATATAGAATAGGAGTGATGATAGAGGGCATCCTTGCCTAGTGCCAGATTTCAAAGGGAATGCTTCCAGTTTTTGCCCATTCAGTATGATGTTGGCTGTAGATTTGTCATAAATAGCTTTTATTGTTTTGATATAGGTTCCTTCTATACCTAGTTTGTTGAAAGTTTTTAGCATAAAGTGCTGTTCAATTTTGTAGAAGACCTTCTTTGCATCTATTGAGATAATCATGTGGTTTTTGTCTTTGATTCTGTTTATGAGGTAGATTATGTTTACAGACTTGTGTATGTTGAACCAGCCTGGCATCCCCAGGATAAGGCCTAGTTGATCATGATGGATAAGCTTTTTGATGTGCTGTTGCAATTGCTTTGCCAGTATTTTATGGAAGACTGTTGCATCTATGTTCATCATGGATATTGGCCTGAAGTTCTCTTTTTTTGTTGAGTCTCTGCCGGGTTTTGGTATCAGGATGGTCTCATAAAATGATTTGGGAAGGAATCCTTCTTTTTGGATTGTTTGCAATAGTTTCAGAAGGAATGATACCAGCTCCTTTTTGTATGTCTGGTAGAATTCAGCTGTGAACCCATCTGGACCTAGACTTTTTTTGGTTGGTAGGCTGTTAATTGCTGCCTCAACTTCAGCCCTTGTTATTGGTCTGTTCAAGGTTTCAACTTCTTCCTGGTTTAGGCTTGGGAGGATGCAAGATTCCAGGAATTTATCCATTTCTTCCAGGTTTACTGGTTTATGTGCATAGAGTTGTTTGTAGTAATCTCTGATTGTAGTTTGTATTTCTGTAGAAACAGTGGTGATATCCCCTTTATTTCTTTTTATTGCATCTATTTGATTCTTCTCCCTTTTCTTTTTTATTAATCTGGGTAGTGGTCTATTTTATTGTTTGTTTCAAAAAAACAGCTCCTGGATTTATTGATTTTTTGAAGAGTTTTTTATGTCTCTATCTCCTTCAGTTCTGCTCTTAGTTATTTATTGTCTTATGCTAGCTTTTGAGTTTTTTTTATCTGGCTCCTCTAGCTCTTTCAATTTTGACCATAGTGTCATTTCCTTGCTTCTCATGTGGGCACTTATTGCTATATATTTTCCTCTAGAGACTGCTTTAAATGTGTCCCAGAGATGCTGGTACCTTTTGTCTTCATTCTCATTGGTTGCAAAGAGCATCTTTATTTCTGCCTTCATTTCATTGTTTATCCAGTGGACATTCAGGAGCCAGTTGTTCAGTTTCCATGAAGCGGTGCGGTTCTGAGTTAGTGTCTTAATTCTGAATTCTAATTTGATTGCCCTGTGGTCTGAGAGAATGTTTATGAATTTCCATTCTTTTGCATTTGCTGAGGAGTGATTTACTTCCAATTATGTGGTCAATTTTAGAGTAGGTGTGATGTGGTGCTGAGAAGAATGTATATTCTGTGGATTTGGGGTGGAGATTTTTGTCAATGTCTATTAGGTCCACTTGGTTCAGACCTGAGTTCAAGTTCTGGATATCCTTGTTAATTTCTGTCTCCTGGATCTGTCTAATATTGACAGTGGAGTGTTAAAGTCTACCAATATTATTGTTTGGGAGTCTAAGTCTCTTTGTAGGTCATTAAGAACTTGTTTTATGTACCTGGGTACTCCTGTATTGGTTATATATATATTTAGGATCATTAGCTCTTCTTGACGCATTGATCCTTTTACCATTATGTAATGCCCTTCTTTGTCTCTTTTTATCTTTGTTGGTTTAAAGTCCATTTTATCAGAGACTAGGATTACAACCGCTTTTTTTGTTGTTGTTGCTCTCCATTTGCTTGATAAATCTTCCTCCATCTCTTTATTTTGAGCCTATGTGTGTCCTTGCACGTGAGATGGATTTCCTGCATACAGCACAGTCATGGGTCTTGACTTTTTATCCAACTTGTCAAGTCTATGTCTTTGATTGGGGCATTTAGCCCATTTACATTTAAGGTTAATATTGTTACGTGTGATTTTGATCCTGCCCTTTTTTCCCCCCATTTATTT